GTGGGAAGAAATTTTAAATTTTTTTTTTTTTAAAAAAATTTAAAAATTAATTTTTTTTTTTTTTTTTTTTTTTTTTTTTTTTTTGTTTCGTTTAACCAGATTTATTCAAATGAATTATTCATTTTTTCTTTTTCTCTTTCCTTAGATGTAATTGATTGGTTTTATCGTAATGGACCCGGTACATTCAGTTTTGCAGCATATTTGTTTCGTGAGAATAAAATATCTTTTAGACCGATACAAAAAAATCGTCCACGACGAGGAGGAGGACGACGGGGAGGACGACGACGGGGAGGACGAAGTTTTCGATCAAGAGGAAGAGGAGGAGGAAGAGGCCGTGGTCGAGGATATGGTGGTCGAGGATATGGTGGTCAAGGATATAATGGTCAAGGATATGGTGGTCGAGGATATGGTGGTCGAGGTTATGGTGGTCAAGGATATGGTGGTCAAAGGCGTATTTACACGAGAAGTTTTTACAATTCAAGCATGTCACAAAGACGAGATGGTCCACCATCACAATCACCACAAGCACAACAACCAAAACAACCACAACAACCACAATCAATGGCTAATGGTAAAACTAGTCAACCTCAGACTTCAAGATAAAATTTTAATTTTGTTTAAAATTCATAATTTGAAATTGAATTAAACCGAAGAAGAAAAAAAAAATTTAATTAATTTTTGACTGTTATTTTTATATATAAAATCTGTGGTTAAAAACATTGAATGTTTGTTTTTTCTTGAAAAAAAATAGTTCATTTAATCGATTGATTGATTGATTCTGATTATCGAATAATGATTGCGAAAGAAAATGAACCAAAAATCAAATCGATGATGATGATTGCGTCAAATGAGAAAAAAGAATCGAAAACTAAATCACTATTGGATGAAAAAAAACAAGAAAAACAACAACAACAACCACAACAACAACAACAACAAACAGCAGAACCATTTGTTATTGTTAATGATTATAGTAATTTTCCAAAATTATGTTGTAAAACAACCGGAATTCCTGGTTTAAATTCATTAATACAATTACCAAAATCACATTATGATTATGTTAAACCAATACAAAGAAATAATAATGGTAGTTTATTATCATTAAATTCATGGATAATACCAACTATAGTACCAACATCGGTATGTAAAAGTAGATTATTATCCAAATTGGAAAAAACACCACCAAAAGAAATGATAAAAAGTTTACCAAAATCACCAACCGGTCAAAGTCATCGTGAATTTGAACGTAGATGTAAAGCAACATTAGATGCATTAGAAAATATTCATAGTAAAGATGATGATAAAGATGATGATGATGATGATGATGATGATATTGAAGATAAATATGAACAACAATATTATAAACAAACAAATGATAAATATGGAAAATTACGACCATTTTGTAAAGGAAAAATAAATGATGATAGATTATGGAAATATATACCAAGATATTATACTGATATTAATATCAATGAACCAGATGATGATAAAGATGATGATGATGATGATGATGATAAAGATAATGATGAAAAATGGCTTAAAGATTTAACAGATTTAGTTATACAATCATCACCGAATCATCAATATTTTTCACAACAACAACAACAACAATCACCACAAGCAAGACCAATATTATGGATAAGATCACCAAAAACAAATTCAAATTTATCAAATAATAATAATAATAATATTAATAATAAATTGAATTTTGTACAAAAAATTTTTATTGAACCAAAAATTTCAAGACAACCATCAGGTAAAATGATGATGAGAAATTTAGATCGGCAAACAACAACAGAAACAAATCCAAATACAACAACAGCTATAATACGTGGTACATTTTCACGTGCATCAACATTAACAGCAATGGTTTTATCATCAAATGATCGAAATAATAATAATAATAATTTTTCTAAACAAAATCCTATTTTGATTAAAAAACAATGGCCAATGATGAATAATAATTATCGACAACAACAACAACAACAACAACAACAACCATCGAATTATAATGAAATTGATGATTTTTTTCGACCATCATCATATTCACCACCATCAGCATCCAAAAGACAACAACAACGAAGACGAAGACAACGACGACGACAAAATTATCATAAACAACGTAATAATAATTATTATGAAAGTAATCATCCATTTAATAATTTTTATGATTAAAAAATGATCATTATTATTATTAGATAATTTTTTTTTTAAATAAAAAATTACGGATTACAAACGGATTTTTGTTTTATCAAAGTTTTATTTTTTTTGTTTTGCTAGTTTTTTATTTGGAAATCCTTTGAGAATTTTCCAGCATTCTCTTAATACGATAGATCTGCCAGATCTAATCAAACAAAAAAAAACATCTCAAAACATTGATTGAGAAAAAACATTAATCCATTCATTCATTCATTCATCAAATTTGTTTTTTGTAAACTTTGGACCCAAAACATTATTGCATCAATTTTTGTAAAAATTACTTTACTGTTTTTTTGGGGGGGGGGCATATAGGGGAATTTCATTTTTCAAAAATTCTTATTAAATCCATTCAATGATGATAACCATTGAAATGATCCCATATAATCAAATCAATTGGATTGAATTGGATTTTAACAATTCATTTTCATTATTACAATCACCACCACCACCATCATTGATTGTAATAATCTGAATTGATTCCTTTTTTTTTTTTGTTAAAAATTTTGAAGATGATAATTATAGTTTTTCAGCTTAGGTACAAAACAACAACAAAAATCATCAAACAATCAATCAAAAAAAGAAAGGTTAAAATCAATCCAATTGATGATAATTAATCAAATTTCGCTGTTATCGATATCTTCTTTTTTGTTGTTTTGGCTGTCGATAATGATGATTAGGATGATGATGATGAATACAAACGCTGAAATTGCGTCGTAATTTTCTTTCCAAAAAACTTTTTTTTTAATTAATTAATTCCATTGAATTTTTGAAAAGATTAAAAGTCAGAAAAAAAAATTAGTGAAATTTGTTTTCGTTTCCATCCAAAAACAACAACAACTTCAAATAACTCCTACAATCATCAATCAACCCTTATCACAATACAGCTAACAACAAAAAAACTTATAACATAACAATCCTATTGGAAATTCTAATTTGATAAATTGAAAATAAAAATGAAAATGAAAATTGTTGTTGTTGTTTTGTTGAGATTTCTTTGGAGACATTGTTTTTTACTTACTAAGACAAAATGAACAGAATCAATAAATAAAATAAATTTTATTATCCGCCATTAGAAAGGAAAAAAAAAATTTGTATTTTACGATTACAGGGTGATGATTGCTCATACCGATTTTATAGTGATGATGGAATTTTTCTTCTCTCCATTATTTTTTCTGGTATTAATGATTTGATGGCAAAAAGGTTAAAATTTTTAATGATTTCGCCGTCAAATTGAAACGAATGAGTTGTTTTATATATATAGAGCCTACATTTTGGTGGTTGCCATGTGATTCTATTAAAAAAGATTTGAAATCTAAATCGTTAAATGGAAAGTAAAATGAAATTTTCAAAATTTGATTTTATCAAAAATTGATTGGCCAAAATGTTCGTGCTACTCCGCCCATTACAAGAATAAATTTGAATTCTGATTGGTCGATTGGAATGTTCATCCCCTCCCCCAAAAAAAAGGATTGTATTCTGTTCAGCAATATCAATCAATGGGAAAAAATAGTGAAAGAATTAGCTCCGCCTTAAAAAAACTGAATATTATTGACATATATAGGAATCATCATTTGATTGAAATTCGCATCTCTTTCTTCGTAACCTGCTTTTTTTTTGGAAAATTTTTGTTAAAATTTTTTCCATAAAAACAAACAAACAAAAATCTGTTTCAAGAATGTATCCAGGATATTCGATCATCATCAGGTGAAAAGAAAACAAGAAAACAAGAAAAAACGTCCTTCGATAAAAATGTTTGAAATAATAATAATAATAATAATCATAAAACAAATAATCTAAATTCGAAAAAAAAAAGTTTTCGAGAAAAATAAAAATGTAAATGTTATCAATGTTATAATCATCAATGGTGCCCAAAATTTATTGTACATTTTTTTTCTGTTTTATTCAAGTAGTTATCGGCGCCAAAAAGCTTTCAATTATATATAAAGATAGATTTACAGCTAAAAAAGATTATCATTATTATTTCAGGTGGTAATTCTGTGTGTGTGTGTTATCATTGAATTTGTTCTTTCTCCAGGTTGTCAATTGTATGTATGCATGTTTGTATTTATGGGCGACTCATTCAATTTGTCAATGATGATGATGATGATTTTTTGGGTTGTTATCATTGAAATTTTTTTTTTTGTTGCTATAATTTCATCAGTCATCATCATATCTTTGTCCATGGAATTTTTCTGTTGTCGTCGTCGTTGGTTGGTTGGTTGGTTGTGTATTTACTTGTCAAATATATTCCTTCATTTCATTTCATTTTTTTTTGTGAAAAAAATAACTAGCAACCAAAACAAAACGCAAAAAAATCCATATGTAAATAAATGAATGAAATGCAGTTATACACCAAAGATCAAAAAGCACACATTGAAAATAATAGAAAACAAAACAATTCAATTCAATCAATCAACTCAATTCGATTAGATGAAAAATAAAATAGGATTTTCTGCTGTTGCTAGTGCTGTTTTTCATTGATTATTTAACTGTATATTTGATTTATGACTTTTTCGAATTCAATATATATTCAATCAAACAGCAGAAAAAACTTTTGCTTATTGACAATTGTTTGTTTTTTTGGAGTTCTTCACTCTTTTTCTGTCTATAGAATTTTGTTTGTTTGTTTTGATTTGGTTTTGTTTGACTTATTGGTTTTGGTTGATTAGGATACATGGATTTATTATTCATAAGGAAAAAAAAGGAAAAAAAAGAAAAGAATTGAAACATGTCTGATGCCGAAGGGTTAACAAAAATGAAAAAATTTCAAGTTTTTTTTCGAATTGAAAATCAATTAAAACCTTTGAGATCGATTTTTTTCTTGGTTTCTAGGTCAATTGAGAAAGTACAAGAAAAAATTAACTAAATCCTAATCCCGGATCTTTAATTCATTGAACAAGATTATCCCGAAACTAAATCAACCTAAATCGATCAACAACTAATCAATCAAACAAACAAACAAAAAAAAAAATCCAAATACAAATTGTGCGTATCAATCTAAATAAATTCAAGTATCATCATCATCATCATCATCATCATTGATCTGGTTGTTGTCATGGTTTTTGATGTTGGTTTTTTGGTTTTGGTTGAAATTTTTTTTTCTTTTTTTTTGTTGGCCTGAAATAAAAAATCAACAATTGATCCTTGATGTATGTTTCCATTTTGTAACTAGGTTTTTTAAAAAAAAATGTCACTTTGACGAATGATTATATCAAAAGCACGTTATCATTCAAAAATCATCATCATCATCATCAAGTAAGATGTTCAACGATAAAAACGCGTGCAATAATCATCAATTTCGATTTTCACCATCATCAACATCATTGTAGCTGTAGTCGTCGCCGATAACAACAACCTGGATAAATTTTTCTAGTTATATTTAAAGGCTCAAGGTAAATATTGAATTA